AAATTAAATAATTCAAATAGATGAATTTAAACGATCCTGCCATCGCTAACTGCCATTTTATTGTTTAAAGATAAATGTTGGAATACAAAGATTTATAAGGAATATAAATAGCATGTGTGTTTTTAGATTATATGATTACGCTATTGATATCGATGTGCGAAGTTCATTGCGTTGCCTGCAAGGTGATTTAAGAAGTAACGCTTCTTCAAATTTGTTTGTGCTAAGATTTGACGCGCGATCTTCAAATACCTATTCCGACGCACCGAGACTTTAATGATGCTAAAATTTATTGGTGCGAAGTATTTATTGTGCTTCCTCGCATATTTCATTCGTAGAAACAACTCGTTTATCTACTCGCTTGCCGTTTGAGCAAGCAACGTAGTTCGAGTGCAAGATTTTGCATCGCATTTGTCCGTGCACCTGCGAATGTGCATGTTATAAACGCATCCGTGCACGATGATATATCGTACGAATTAATCGTAAATCAAGACGGGAGTGATGACACCGTTTATTGCTGCAAGCTGTGTGAATGTGGCGACCGCGATGACTTTCCTCATGTCTTTACGCATCGCATAAACATTTAATTTTAATTTGTATTTGATATTCACGATTATTGTATTTGCGCAGTTGCACTAAACAATTATCTGTTCAAAGTACTGCATTTATGGACCGTGATTTTTAACTCGCTATTATTCATCGTTAATAAAGAGCTTGTCAAAAATTTACGGAAGTGAAAGGTATAAATCGGTAGCGGATTTTACACAATAAATTTATTTGCTGATTGAGTATATTTAAATTTTGGTATATTTCAAATAATTCAAATTTTTTTACATTTCACAATTTTGTAATTTGAAAGTTGAGAATCGGCAACGCAAAGTCGAAAATTCGTTGAAAATTGATGGTTACCTACGTATGCACACATTTGGTATTATATTTAACATGGGTAAATAAAAATTCTCTCTCTCTCTCTCTCTCTCTCTCTCTCTCTCTCTCTCTCTCTCTCTCTCTCTTGGTATTTTTCATGTGTCTACGACTGTCCATATTGAAAATTCAACGTTACGTGATTCGTGATGGGTATCCGACATTCGTAAACAATCGTCGGCGCCAAAATTCACCGATGACTCGACGCATCTCATTCCGCTCGTGCGTCTATACTAATCAACTACGCAAATATACGAGAGCCACGCTCCTCTCGCACACTGAAAGCCGACGTAATCCGCAGGCTGGTATTTTAATTGACAGACTGACGGATCTAAACGGATTGCCGCGCCGGGGCTACTCAAATCCCCATCTTCCTATCGAGTCTTGAGCACTTTCTTCCCGAATAAGCATGAATCAGCGCGCCGGCACGCGGCGGTGATGTCAATCTTTGCTCAGCTGACTGACGAGATTGGCCTCACCTTCCTCGCTGGCGCATATGGGACGATCTTTCCTCGGCCTCGCATTCTTTCGCGTGTAAACGCTCGACTTTGCGTTCGCCAAGACATCGAACGAGAAGGCGCGGCGACGGTAAACGATGCATCTTCTTCCCGCGCACACCCGCACCATTATGCCGATGTTATCATCGTCGCTGCTCCGAATCTGTCCGTTGCGAAATACTCCAAGATTTATGGCTATCAACTACTGGCGTTAGCTGTCGACTACTTTATTCGTAATATTTCGTTGATATTTTGTTACAATATCACCGCGCTTGTAATGTTTTAAAGCATGTAATATACATTCTTCAGTCACAGCATTTTTCAACCTCTGTTTTGGAAGATATTTATTTGTAAAGCACCCGAGGAATATAGTATTATCTTACTTATAGAAGCTTAAATCTTATATGAATCAATCAAATTGAGAAAGAAAAATCCTATTTTCGGTCAAAGCAGAGAAAAGTACTAAAATAGTAATGTTATATTAAATTGCCAAGCAATTTACGAATTTCTTATGTTAATAAAATTTTATAAGAATATTAATAATTCGATAATAATAAGACTTAAAGTAATCTTATAAAGTAATTTTATATATAGTATATCTTATACGAATAAAGTAATCTTATACGAATATAATGTGATATATTTGGTAATAAAAGCCTTGTACTGTTGTGCCAACACAAATATTTGGCTTGTTACATATATCTCAACGTGAAATCTATGATAGATCGGTATATAAGAATCGGTATATTTCATTGTTAAAAGATATAACGTCCTTTGCACGTAGTTGCTAGTTTTAAAGTTGAACCAAACTTTCATTTATTTCATTTTTTAGTTTATTATTATTCCCGCAAGCTGAGTTACGTGATATTTCCTTCCGTGCCGGTAGCATGCATTTCCGCCGAACGGCGACGCCAGTCGAGCAAGAATTCGCGTTACAATGTCATGCGATTGTGTCTTCGTTTATCGAATAAATTCGCCAGCAGCCGGTTATTTTTCTCGACGAAACGAGCAGTGTATTTGTATAGCTTCGTGCATCCAATGTTTATCGCTTTGCCATCCTGTGACCAGCGAATTCCACGGCGACTGTGAATCATCGTAATAAAAAATATCGATCATCATTTGAATGTCGATCTCCATTAAGCAAAGAAGAACTAAGAGAACTCTTATTTAAAAAGTCGTGACGCATCGACGATGAAATTACACGCGCAAGCAGCCATTTATGGAAATGCGATAATACCATGAAGTCTTCGTCTAAATCTTTTGATGCGATCTCGATCAGCAATTTGTTGATTAATTTAAATTTTCTAGTGTTATTATATGTGTTTATAGGATTGGCAAGTAACGCTTTGTTGATCATTATTTTGTTATAATAATGATTTGGTAGTGACATTGTGAATTTTTTATGATGGTAATGGTAACATTAAAAAAATCAATCGTTACTTGTAATAAGTTGAAAAATTCGTTACTGAAAAAAAAAAACTCCTAATTTGTAATGCGTTACTTTTTACTCGTTACTTGTAACTGCTTATTACTTTTTTCAGTAAGAAACGCGTAATGAAGATGAGTTACTTTCCAAAGTAACTCTTCTAACTTAAGCAACCTTAGCGTTAGTTAACGTTACGTAATAAAAATTGCAACATCGTCATAAAATCGTTTATTATAAAAAGTAACGGCAAAGTAATTGAAAAGTAACGTTTGTTAAACCTGGTTATTTATATTATCTGTATTACACACAGCAAATACCAATTGCAAAGTGTAAATAGTTTGAATTTAAGGATTTTTAATCTTCCTCCTTTTCATTTTTTTTACCGTTTATATTTTAAAGTCGACCGAGTGGTTTCGTTTACTGTTATATCTCGCATTTTTCTCTCCGACGCGAGGCAACAAAGTATCGAAGTAATAAAGTTACAGCCACGCAGAGATTTAATATCCCACGTTCGTCGCAGTGGTGTTTCCAGTTGCGAGCAATTGGCAGCCGGTATTACACACAACGGTACGATGGCCGTTATCGCAGAATCGCTTGCGTAACGACATTAAATCATTGCACGGCGATCGAACGCACTCACGGCACTGGCAGACGGAAAAAACGTGGACGGGGCGCGAGGAATAAAGCACCTCGGCCGCGGAGAATGATTCGGGGGGGGGGGGGGGGGGGGGGGGAGTGGAAGAGGAGGAACGTTGCATTAATTCTAGCTTGGCTCCACCACGTAGACTACGATAAATCTCGATCTCGTTCTGCTCCGAGACGGAAATGCAACCCACGTTGTATCTACGTCGCTCGATTCGAACTCGCTCCGATTGCACTCGCGGCGATTTAACACGCGATATATTGTCCCTACGTGTTATTCTGTTACGCGAATATCCATAAGGCATACAGCGATGATAAATACGGCACACGTATATGTGAATCCGCGGTGTCAGTTGAACCACGAGATAGAAAGCATTTTTATATCGTTCGTGAAATTAGCTGTTTTCGAGAGATAATTTTTAATATTCCTTTTTTATTACTTTATCTCGATATTCCAATGTTAGAGCGATGATAAATATAAACAACTTTTTTTGTTTGCTTCACGAATCCTCGAATACAAATTGTGTTTTATAAAACGCAAATTCAATCCGCGATAAATTGATAGCTTTTATAATTTGACTAGCTTTGACAGCCGCAGTCAAAATAATTAGTTTAAACAACTAACTGCTACACGCATTCGCATATATGTATATATACGTGGTGTCTTTTTAAATGCAAATTTATGAAGTAAATGAAAGCTCTGCAAACGTAACGCGACTCTGTATGATTAGGATATGCTCGGCATGAACTGTTTCGCGTTATACATTTTTCGTAAAAGCCTATTATATATGTATATGTGTGTGTGTGTGTGTGTGTGTGTGTGTGTGTGTGTGTGTGTGTGTGTGTGTGTGTGTAAATGACATCGTGTCTGCGTAATTCCGCATAGGACACTCCAGTCGCGCGCGCCACTTTTTAATTACTCTAACTTTAAAATGCCACCATTACGCGCTCCGAAAAACAACGGTTATTTTAACAAGAATTTAATTATGCTTGTCGCACCTACTTTTCTCCGGTGAAATGACTGTCCTCGAACGAATACAAATTTTACAGATTTACGCAAGGGAAAAAATTAATTTAGCATTTATTACGAGGTATCTTCCTTTTTTTTACTCTGAAAAAAATTCTTACGTAAAGTCTTTAAGTATAGGTAATTTGCTGAAAATTGAAAATATTTCAATCCTTTTACGAGCAGCACTTGAACACCGTTACCAATAGCACCGATAATAAATTCATTATAAAATTAATTAAATTTATTATATATTACTACAAAATTGTGACAGATAAGTAGTGATATCGGAACGTTCATTTCTTAGCGAAAATTATTAAGATTAATAGTTCACTATCGATGCCGCGAATCAAAATAATTCACGTTTTTGTCCAATCGACAGTTGCGATCGAGCATTCGTTTAATTAAATCGTAGCGGTGGTCGCGCGCTTGGCTCTACGGAAACTTAGGCGAAACTGGGGCGAAAAGTGCAAGGACAGATCGGAATACGATTAATAATTTATTCCAGGCACGTCGTTCGGCGAGTCGGCGACGCGGGGCGATCGAGAACAGGTGGGCGAGAGAAAAGAATCGAGATGGAACGACGGCGACTGGAAGGACGACGAGAGGGCCACAAGGAGCACGCAGATCGCTAGGACAGGTAAGGGAGAGAACCTGTTGAATTAATATCAACCCTCCGGCATTCTATTCTCTCTTTCCGTGTCTACGTCTAATTTGCACCACGCATATCCGATATAATAGTGATTAATTTTGACAAGTACGATGCGCAATGAAACAATGATTGCTGGATCGAAAACAGCCGTCGATGCGTATTATCCTCGCAGACTCGTAATGTTATTCATGGGTATTTCCTCTATAATTACCGTGTCTGCCGATCACGCTGCTCGCGCACGTACGACGTTTCCGCCGATCAACGTGTCTGTCGTCCATAATTGAAATTGATCGCGAGAATTAACGTCGCGCTTTAAGCGATGATTTTCCCCAAGTAAAACTCTCATTGATGCGCGACAGATGTAGTACATGAGAAATAATCCGAAAGATTTTGAAAGAGATGTCATTTGAAATTAACTGATGTTTGAAATATTTGTCAATTAAATCGAGACATTACGAACTTTCGTAACATGAAACGGTAATGTAAATTTGTAAAGGAGGAAAAACTGTTTAAATAAACAAGTGAGCGTTTATTTGCTGAGTGAGCAAATATTTTCTTGAAAATAATATTGTAGAGATATAATCTCGCATCGGAAACAATATTTGTTGTTTGACTTAGCGAGCAACGAGCGTACGACGTAGAGAGAGCATGAATGCGTAGTCGCGTAGTCGAAGAAGTTTCCGGCAAAGGTGTAGTCGTTCGTTCGACGACGGCAGAACATTCTACTTCATTAATTTAATCAGCTATTTTAGGGAAATCGTGAGCCGTCTTTGAAATTTTCGACTATCGGCGAACTTTATACGTGATGCCGCAAACTACATGGCTTCCCTCCCGATATAAACGCGCACAATGAAAACTTGTTTCGAAGTCGATAATGTCCGTGGTATACGATGTAAGAATAGCTCCCATCAAGTATCTTACGAGTATCTCACCATAGAACGCATTGGTTGCACTGTCAGTGCAACAGATTTATGCGAACTCGGGTATATAGTTACATCCGACTCGAGTATATAGTTATCGGACTTCCGTCCTATATATAAGTAGAATAACTAAAACTCTGAACATCATAATAACTTACGAAGTAACTTCTCATGAATGAGACTCTGCTACAATATATATCGGAAAGATAATTTACAAAATGTTTGTAATTATATTAATAATACGTGCAATTATATCGAAATATAACATAGTCTCGCTAATGATCAATTTTTTTTTGTACGTATATTAATAAATTTAGTTTGTGTTACATTATATTGAAATTATTAGCAGTTCGAATAACGAATATTGATACTATTATTAATATTTATTGCGTTCATTAGTAAACTAATTGAAGCATGTGCTTACATTTTGATACTGTTATCAGTATCAAAATGTGATAAATATCAATTAAATTTCCATTGTTCAATACTAAATGTATTTTGTTTCTCTTGCGAAATATGAAACAGAGCATTTAAAATTTTACGAAAATATAATAACTTCACTAAGTGCTTAATATATAAATGAATGGATAAGCAATCGTAAAATATTCAATCATAATTTCTCTAGTTGAGATGACCGAGATATCGCGCGAGAGTCGAGCTCTTTCAAGTTTTGCGCGTAACTTTAAAATGTATTAAATCAACGCTCAAGAACTTTGAGAAAATTGTTTAATTCATGTAGTTTAATTTATACGATTGTTATTTGATAACTTTGCTATTTTGTCCGTTATGAACAAATAATTACAATAACTTTAAATCGTATGTATAAATTGTAAATGTCTCCTCAATGCACAAACAACACTTTTTGTACAATCTTCGTTGTAGTATTTGTTTTCTTCAAACATTTTCGTCGTTTCGACATGCCAATTTTTTGGCTGTCACGTTAATCCGCATCGCAGTGCCAAATTTGAATTTACTAGCCGCTACAGCGGCTGTATAAACTGTATAGAGCATGAGGCTATTGCGTTGCGAGATACGAGAGCCACTACGGTATGGAGAAAATGCTTCGACAAAATATATTTCACTTCCCAAAAGAATATTACTTGCGAATTTATTGCGCTCGGCCGACAACTTTTATGGTGCCGTTGGCCTGGAAACGTTTAAGCGAGACGTTTCGTGGGTGTCCTGCGTTTGCCGCGGAAAATACGATTATCCAATTACGTTATTCGCTCAACCAAATTCTCTCTTTCTCTCTCTCTCTCTCTCTCTCTCTCTCTCTCTCTCTCTCTCTTTCTATAATTCTTTTCTTCCTCTTCTTTCTCTATTACTCTATCAGCTAGATTGAGATTTTTCGATGTGCTTTGCATATATTTCTCTTTATTTGTTTTTTTTTTACTTTTTCCTTACTCGACATCACATCTTCGTCCTCGGGAGATAAGCGTTATCATTTTGAGTGCTTGAAATGCTGATATGTACCTCAGCGCGATGGAATGCGGCCTTATCATCCAACTAACAAATATTCTGTGCGCGGCTAATGCATATAGTTCCAACGCACACACATACATACACATACACACGCATACATTCGGAAGAGAAATAGAGAGATAAAGAGAAGAATAGCAAGAGAGATTACTCGCTAAAACCCCACCGTGCAAATATTTACCGAAATACACATTATTCTTTCCCTCCGCCTCGTCCAGCATTTGACATAGTCTCGGCAAATGGATTTCCCGACTGCGTTATGAAAACAGAGAGTATGGGAAGCGGAATGAAGAGAGGAATCGAGAAAGAGAGAACCATAATGTCAATCCCATAGTATCTCTTTATTAAACCTGGGAACATGTAACATTCGGTTATTGTAGAACACAAACGTTGTGCAAGTTGTAGCAAATTGTTGACGTTTTTGTAAACAGGTGCGACGTTATTGTTACAGTGCAAATCGTGTTTGTTATTCCTTGTAGAATTTTAGATAAAAATATCATGAGAATAACGTTCTGTATTTCTTAAAAATATTTAAATGTTGAAATAACCATATTGATTATTTTAAATTTAAATTGATTCAATTAAAATTGTGATCTAAAATTAGATTGATGATGATTAATCCTTATTTCAACCTTTTTTTTATCTTGCCGTCAAAGAGGTTCTTATCTTATTTTTATGGAGATAACTTTGCAACTCTAAATGAGAATATTAAAAGTTGATTTTAATATTAATGATATATTATAAAGGTCGTATCACCTCATTTTGTGAACGGTGATGTTGTTAATACTTTATTACGATGTAATTTCTTTATCATCGCTTACTGAGTCGCGCAAACTGTGTTTTCAATGAGCGAAGTCTGTGAAACTTTTCGGAGGCATTCTGATATACTGGCTGTTCCGTTGCTGCTTCTTCATTTCACGGACATCCAGCTGCGAATTCCATTAGTGCATTACGAAAATATGCGTTCGGGAAAATAGTTTGGTCGAAGTCATGCCGGTCCCGGACTTTGTGCTTTCATTAAGACATACCCGCGATAAGATGTGATTTATCTTAGATTGTGATTCATTGGTATGCGAATAATCGATCGCGAATAAATTGAATCAAATCCAATGATTTCCAAAGTATACGCGAAATGACGTAACCTGTTTTATAATTAAGAAAAAAGATACCGATGTTAAATGAAAAATTGGAACAAGAAATATCTAAATAATATTTTTTTTAATGAAATATTTAAAGGTCAGTTCTCTTAATGACTTTAAATTTGATATTCTTCGTAGCGAAATATCGATCAGTCGTAATAATAAACTAATATAATTTCCACAAGACTTTTTTAGGTCAGAGAAGTGAGCATACTTTCTCTTTTCATTTCGAAACTATTTATGAAGAGTATATCTGTATCCTTATTCGTTATGCAGCGATATTTCAATTAAAGGTGCAGATATCGACTTGATGTTGCAAGCGGCATGATGGTCGAAAAATTATTCGACCAGCTTTTACACCGGGTAACATTGATAAAAATGATAATTGACATTAATTAATATCGAGGTCGCAGTCTTCTCATGGAACGGTATCTTCATCGATATAAATTTCAATTATAACGCCGGGACATCGTTGCGTCATACCTCGTATGCGCTTTTCGTCTCGAAGGGATCGGCCGCCAATTAAATTTGTCTCCTTGCGTCTCGATCGGTCATTAATCTCTCGCGCATCGACATCTCGGGCGTGACATTAATCATTATTACTCACCTCACGCCGGAAACCGTCGTAACACGCGAAAGTTGACGCGTGGTGATTTGTCTTAATTAACGATTATTTCACGGATTTGATTGCATTACCACACCGAGCGTGATACTCGTCATTAAGACTGCTACCGGAACGACACTATAACCTGTGCTCAAATTTGTTCGTGGAAATCGCGCAATTAGCTGCGTGGAGCATATCGCATTTATGATCGTCGCATTTGTTTCCTCTCACGGATAACGTCCTCGAGAAACTCGTAATTTGATTTAACGCTCTTTTTTTTAAACGAGTTGTTATTATTTATGGAGAGAATTTGAGTTTGTAACAACTCTTCGTAGCGATTCGCAACATCTTCTGACGCATTTAACTGCGCCTCGACTGCAAACGGGCGAATTGCTTCTGAAACGATTCGCGTTTTGCGGTGATATGCGACCACTTTTGTCACATACGTTACACGGATAATCATTGTGGAATCACATAATAAGTTCTTGAGAATTATATTTATGATTTTCTCGGAAATAATTATAATTGTTGCGCTCATAATCCGCTTTGCTGGCTAGTCATAGCTATTATAAACAGAGCTATTTTAAAGAAGAGGATTTTATATGTTTATACAATCCATTATAGTGGAGTACAATATATTTAAAAACTGTATGCCGAGAGTATACATATACATGTATCTTTTATTCTTAAAATGACATAATTTAAAAAATTAAGTTTAAAAATTGTATAGATGAAAAGAGTTTTTTTTTTTTTCAGGAAAAGAGAAAAACTCTTTTCAGTTATATAGTTTTTAAATAAATTTTGATGTACTAAAAAAGATTACGTAGAAACACAGCCGGTACATAA